TAAATATAAACTCCCGTTTATTCATTATACAAGTCAAGTTTTTAAAGTTAGTTACCCATAATAAAAATGCAACGTACCATCCGATCCAATTTCAAGTTGCCTTGACGCCTCTTTAGCTGCTTTTTTGAGTTTCTTCTTCTCCTTTTGTTTCCGTAAATACTTTTCTATTGTAGTCTCTTCTAACTGATAACAATATGTCGGATCAGTTAGTATATCTGGTGCAAATTTCAACAATGCGTTATGTCTTATTCTCCGTCATATTGCCAGACACCCTACCTCATCATCTTCCTCATTGTTGACTTCAGTTAATGCAGGGGCAAATGTCACTTCTAAATCTTCATCAACTTCTTTCTCTTCTTCAATCTCGGCAAGTAAATTTTTATACTTTTGTTTAATCCCGTCATTGTCTCCCTCTGACTCTTCATCGGTAGATGCGAGATAAATTTTAAAATCCATATTATCAATATCATCCTTTGTGAAGCTATGTCGAGTAAGACGAACTCTGTCGGGATCGTCTGCATCCCAAGTTAATTTCGCACGTGAATGTTGAAGAACCTGGCAAGTCAAGTATGAATTAGATGAGCGAAAAATATAGGCGAGCAAGCGCGGAATTGTTTTCTTACATTCGTAGTAAAGTCAATTGGTTTATATACATCTGGGGCTTCGTAACATTCATCCCTGTAAAAAGAAATCATAAATAACACATTATTCTCAGAATATTTATATATTCGAATCGCAATGCATAACCCACACCTCCCTTGGCACATCATTAAATTCCACGCCATCCGGTACGAATCTCAAATCAAAGAAATTGGAACTTCTTTCGAACTCTGTACCATCACATTGCTCATAAATAGCGCGAGCTGTCTTTACCGTGTCACAGTCTACTATAGCATAGTAGTATCTGTTGCCAAATTATAGACGAGGTAATATAAGCAAAAGACATTCTCGGACAGCAGAGCGAACATCGAGTATATACAGCAGCCGCACCTACTTTAATCGTTCTAATTGATATTTTCGTAATGCATTTTCATCAAATTCTTCGGCAACGCCTTCCTTTATTATTTTCTTGATGTTAATTTTTCCGTAATCGATATCATCCTCGGCATCCTCAGATGAAGATAAATCTTCATCGCTCTCTTGTTTTTTAAATATTTCCTTAGGCGGTCCATACCGTTGTTCCTGCAATATAGTAATTTACAATAAGTTCTTTTGTCTATTCAATACTTGCAACATCACGCGATTATTCAAATTATATATCTCCGCTGACCTTCTCCAATCTCTCTTTTCCAAATTC